TGATTGGAGGATCACGTGGGGACTGACTACTCAACAATGACTTTTTCATTTATTGTGAACATACTTCTCCAAGTGGATATTTCTGTTATTATGTGGTTGGGAACTGGTTATCTCTCTCCTTTTCCCCTCAGCTGAGATCTGTAGAATCAGTACTGGCACACTACTACAGAGTATTAGGGTTGCAATTCAGTAAAAAAACTAAACAAAAAAAACTGGTGAAAGCAACTTTTGGGATCATGTGGATGATGTAAGTTAAGCACCTCCATTAACAGAGATTTTAAAATATTGACATGGAGCTCACTGGAAAATGTTAAAACCTCAGTGAGCTTCAGTAAGACTCTCTAGAAATGATATGACAGGCAGCCAGACTCTAGCTGTCACTGTCTGCTGTGCAGTGTCTTATTGCTGTACTATTCCACTTAGATCAACGCAGTGACACTCTCAACTAACTCTCAACCCCATCTGGCTCTGTGTGTGTGAGAGTTTAAAGAAGTCTATCTCCTTTATCAGGAGTGGTGAAATCAACAAGATGTACATTTGCCAAACCACTACATCCTCATCCCTGAAGTCAACATAAACTTTAGTGTGTGTGTTCATAGTAATAAAGGAACATTCACCCAGTGTAACAGTGAGGCTCTTATGTGTTTTTAATAGTTAATGGACAACAGTGGAGCTCTATGGCAAAGAGGAAGAAGATATAATAAAACAAACTGAATGAAAACACCACAATAGTGTGTTTGAGGGGCTTCTTGAAACAAACTTTTTCTCGCAATCCTATGACTTTATTCTCAAAATATACTTTTTCCTCTATAATTTTTTTTTTTAAATGTTAAAAATCCCCTCCAGTCATGCACAATACAAATAGTCTGCTTGGAACAATGTGTCTGATGTATTTCTCCACCAAAAAGTATAATTTCTACATTAAAATCCTTAAAAAGGCATATTTTTATTGTACTTTATGCTCATTTCGGAGGCTGCAGTTGAAATGTATTGGGTAATGAGGAGAGGTGTCTAATCTTTTAAAGATCTCCTCCAGACATGTATATACAAATAGCCTATTTGGAACAATAATGTGTTGTGTATAAAGTATAATTTCCACATTAAAATCCTTCCATCTCCTCCTTCTAGCTCATTAAAGATTCCAGAATCTCTGAATATGCAAATGTTGTTAATTT